TGACGCCCCGCTTCTGCCCGGAGGGTCCTGAGACCGCGGGGAGGTCGGGGCGTGCAAGCGAGGTGATGATGTGCTTCTGCAAGTGTCATGCAACGGGCCTCCGCGTTCTCGGCGTGTTTTCCCTCCAGGTTCTGTTGGTTTGGTTTCCTTTCCTATTTAAAGGGATAATTGGAAATAGGGGTGATTCCTGATACGAAATCAAGTTATGATTGTGTAGAACCTCTTTGGACTAAGATCTAGAGGAAAAACTCACCATGGTTCACCAATGTGGTTATTTGGATTTTTTTTCCCGGGTTTGTTTTTGTTTTTTTACCAAATGGTTTGCCCTTGTGTAACTGGGATAGATTGCAAAAATAATAAAATCTTTTCCACGTTTACGCTCATTCTCAGGTCCAAATGTTCTCCCCCCTACTTGGGTAGAATAGTGGTATACTCTGAGGCATATACACCAGTAACTTACGCAGGAGCTCAAATCTGCTTCTCTGGATTTCTGTGCATATTTGACAAGTGCGTTACTGACATGGGGGTTGGAATCCAAGCAAACTTGTGTTTAGCTACCTTTTTTTTTGTGTCATGCAAACTTCCTTTTAACTGTCATGCATTTTTCTAGTAATAGCTCTTCAAGTCTGCAATAAAAAATGGCCTCCAATAAAACTACATTGGTAAGTTAATGGAAACCTAAATACATAAGGATCTAACTCAAGCTTCCCCCCCTCCCAAATTATAACTTTGCATCTCTGTGGTTGAGAAATCTCCATCCATATAGTCCCTGCACATCCCTAGCCCCCTGTATTATAGGCAGAAGTATAATTTATTTAAATTTAATTTCTTATCCAATCCAGATTTTGGAAGGACAATATCATATACATTTTTTTGAGTATTTTTGTTAAATAAAATTGTTACCATGGAAAACTATATTCTAGTCATGAATAGGCAAACCAGTAAAGCCACTGTACCACTCAGTCCCCAATTTCTGGAAAAGCAAAGTATATTCAGTAATGGCTTATTGAAAAAACAGATCTTGCTGCTCCACCAAATTGGGGCAAAAGTTGTTAAATCGTTACATTTTGTGTCCTAGGTCAGTATTTCTTGTTCTAAAATACATAAGGACTTTTCTGTTAACTACAGTGCCTTGTTTTGGCTTTTTAAATACTGAAAGAACCAAAGTACAAAGTTAACATTTGTGAAGAAGAAAATACTAATCTTCTGAGCCATTCATTTTTTTTTTACTTTTCCAGCAACCGCAAACCCAAAGTTTGCATGCTTAGGCCTAGAGAAAGGTTCTACAACCATGTAAATTTCAGCCATATTAAGTTATAAGCTGGGGAAACATCCCACAACACTGGAGTATTCACATAAAAATCACGAAATTCAAAGTTATGGTTCCCACAATATTTACTTCTAGCGTTGTGTTAATAATAATTAATTTGAAAAGGTTGATAAATAAAGTGTCATTCCTGAGTGGTGAGTCTCTAGCACAAATGATTTCTATACTAAGTTCAAAACCATGGTCAATGGGCAAAGCATCTTCTTTATTTACCCCTTCCCCCCCCCCCCCCCCCATGATTCAGCTGGCCTTCAAATTCTATACAGTCAATCAAAATCTAGGTAAAGGAGTTTTGGCTTTACTGTCAACTCTATTTTACATCAAGAAATGTATTAGCTGTTCATGAGGCAGAAGGCTTTGGGGATGTGCAATTTATTGGGATTTCTTTGTGAAGCATCACAAATTGATTACATGTGTAAGTGTGGGTGGCTTTTTTTTTTTAAATTTTGTGGGCTATATGTGCCGTATTAAGTCAATGTGAGTGCTTTCTGTAATTTTTGTCATCCTCTTGTTAATTTTCATGGACAGTAGCTGTATTGTTTCCATTTAGAGTCAGTGTCTGATAAGCTTTTGTCTACTCCAGTTTCTCTTTGCTCCTTCCTCTACTCTTCTTGCCTGCCTTGTACACAGAAAACTTTTTTAGACCCAGTAACTCAAGTCTTTTGCCTAATGAGAATTTTAAGACTGGACTTAGGGATACAAATCAAATGTTTGCTACATTTTTAAAAATCAGGTCTTTTTATTTCTTAAATGTGTATGTACACTTTGCTTGCATACCCTTTGATACCTTTTTGCAGTAACTTTCAAGAAGTTACTTTAAAATCATCTTAAGAATTTTGGAGTTTGCTATAATTTTAGCCTCTTTCATGGAAGATTAAGGATATTTCATTCATTTGTTATGCTTGACCCTGCGATTGATAAGATTTTGGATTAAGCTTTTGATTATTATAGGCTGTCAAAGTTTTCTTCTATAAAAGTTTCATTTCACCATACTTTCATTCTGTAATATCTTTTTTCTTTGTAATTAGGTTTTTAATATTGGTCCTTAGGTGTAGTTTTAATTAGTAAAGGAATTTTATTACTATTGTGGGCTATAATTTTCAGTACCTTAACTAAATGTGCCACTGCTACTTAGTCCTTTGTCGTTATTTTTTGTGTTGCAGTGAAAATTCTAGTACTTGATTTCACAGACTATACAGTATTGAGACTGGGTAAAGACTACTCTGTTTTCCAGATAGTGATGAAGGGTGGTGGGTGATATGTTTGGGATGAGCTGATGAATTAAACATTCGTTTGTTTTGTTACCCGATTTCATCTTTTCAGAAGGTGTCTGCCCTGGGATATAGAAGTGAAAACCTAATGTTTTGAAGTCAATAATGCGAGCAGTTTAGCCTTTAAAATGTACTCAAATTTTTTTAAGAATGTGTGTCTTAAATATCCCTTTTTGTTTTGTTTTAGCAAAAAATGGGAAAGAAACAGAATGGGAAGAGTAAAAAAGTTGAAGAGGCAGAACCTGAAGAATTTGTGGTAGAGAAAGTGCTGGACCGACGTGTAGTGAACGGGAAGGTCGAGTATTTTCTCAAGTGGAAGGGATTTACAGAGTAAGTGTTCTTTAGTGCGTTTAACTAGACTGGAGTTTGAGGAACCCTGGTTGCAATTAGTTAGCTCTGGTAGATTAATGGATTAATGTTAAGCTGTTGTGCTGTCAACCCCAAGGCATGCAGTTCTGATCTACCAAATGTCCCACAGGAGAAAGATGGACAGTCTCCTCCCTTGGCTGCTTACAGCCTCTGAAAACATGCTGGAGGGTCAGCTATGAGTTGATTAGATTCTCCCTTGGAGCAGTGGTACGTTCAAGCTTTACATTAGCAGCTACGTGCTTTAACCACTGTGCTACCAGGGTTCCTCTTTATACTGAGATAACTTAAAGTTTTGCATTGTGGTGGTGTTTTGTGCCAGTAAGTCTTTACCATCTCATAGATGTGAACATGTGAATCACTGCAGAGATTGCCCATCTTCTCGTGCAACTGGTGGATTTAAACTGTGTGCCTTTGGGTTCTCAGTGCAACTCCTTACTACTAGGCCACCAGAGCCTCCATTATAGACAAATCAAACCTATGCCATTAGTTCAAACAACCCTCCATCTAGTTTCTGAGGCTGTATGTACATCTAAGGAGTTTGCCCATCTTTGTACTGCAGAGCGTCTGGTCAGTTCATATCACTGATCTTTCAGTCAGCAGTACAACAAAAAATGCACTATGCTGCTAAAACAAGTGGTTCCTAAACAGAAGAATACTCTAATCCAAGTCTAAGACTTGGAATCAATTCGATAGCAATAGGTTTCTTTCAAGAATTATTTGTATAAACACACTTACTGTTTGGTGAATAATGTCACCAAAATACTGAAACTAGATTCTCTTGGTTGAACTGTGTAATTAATTACTCTTTGATTATTCTACCTTCTGGCACAAAGATCGAGTCAACCATTTCCGCTCTCATTCTCCCCACTCACTAATTTATCACTATTGCCACAATTACTCATCTCTTTGGATTTAGTATAAAAACAGCCACAGACCGTATTTTATTAAACAAGTTTGGCTGTATTCTAGTAAAACTGGATATTGACATTTCCGTTTCAGGACTCAGTAGCAACTGACTTTTGGGAATAACTTAGGTATTTGAAGATTGGTTATTGGAGACCCCAGTCATAGACATCATTTAATATGGCAATTTATGTGGAAATATATTAGCAGGCACTTGCAGAGGAACTCAAATTATCTGCAGAGCATGGAGAAACATCTTCAATTATCTTTCAGGTTTGTTATCTTGTAAATAATACAGCAAATTGTCCACTTAAAAATGAAGAGCACACTCTAAAGCGTAGGTTCCTGTAGAAGAATTGAGTCCTTTCTGTAACATAGAAGATTCTTCATATTTTTTTAAATGGATTCAGATAATGGTGATGAGCTGATTTTTAATTAAGTTGAGTTGTCATTTTTTTTCTTCTTAATTGACACAGTGCTGACAATACTTGGGAACCTGAAGAAAATCTAGATTGCCCAGAATTGATTGAAGCATTTCTTAATTCTCAAAAAGCTGGTAAAGAAAAAGATGGCACAAAAAGAAAATCATTATCTGATAGTGAATCTGATGATAGCAAATCAAAGAAGAAAAGAGATGCC